GAGTTCAAATCACGAGACAGAAACTTTGCAGCTTCTAAGCCAAACACGCCTTAACTCCCCAGGCTCGTTTAAGTTGACTAACAATCACGATCAACGATTTGGAACGTTCAATCGAACAAACGAACCCCATCATCACACATTTGGTCAAATGCTTCCGTTTAACTCGTTGAATCATCGTGTAAGAATTAATTAGATGCTTTTATTTATCTATTTATTTATCGAAACAATTCTGACTAAATTAATTTATTTTTGGTCAAACTGACTTTTGATGAGTAAGAAATTAATCCAACACAGGATCAGATTTTGTTTTCGAGAAATGAATTACAGTTACAGCAATGGCAAACGAATGGTAATAATTTTCAAGGCGTTCCAGTTTTTGCCAATGCTGCAGCATCATCAGGATTCCAGATGAGACCCGGTAATAATAATAATTATAATAATAATAATAATAATAATTATAATAATTGGTCGCAACAAAACGGGATTCAGTTTTCTAACCGACCCTCGTGATCAATGTTATCCGATAGTCGTGAATGCCGATTTTCTTTTTCGTCTGATTCGGCTAATGGAGGGAGAAAGAAAGATTGTTTCCATATATCTTTGTAAGTTTAATTTGGGGTAAAAAAAAAAGAAAAAAATTGATGCTTTATGTGATTATGTATCTCATTGTTTGGCCCTTTGAACATAGTTATTATTGCATAATCAGGGATTGTATGGAGTGCTAATCAATGATTGTGTATATTGGTGAAAATTTGTATTATTGAAGTGCTAATTAACTCCTAAAATTAAGGTTTTTCCTGAGAATTTTGATTTATTGTCTTCAAAAAATGAAGAATTGATATAGCACTATTGTTCAGGTTTGTTCAATTGATATGAAATATTTGTGTTGTTCTACTAAGCTTGTGATGATCTGTGTTTGGTGACATATATTTAACTTCTGCTCCAATTCTCATGATTTTATGTGACTAGATTTATGCCATAATCTTAAGGCTAGCTATATATGTATAGTTAGTAAGAATGTTGTTAAGCAAATTCAACGGTTAGACTGTCACATTTTTTTAACATTTGTGCATTTTTTCAAACTGAAATGTTATACTTTAAACAAAAGTATATATTCCATTAGCATAAACATGCATTTTTGTTTACAAAAAATGTTTGACATTTTAGTTCAAAAGAATAAATTTTTGTTCAAGAATGTTATGATGTGTGGAATGAGATTTTAGTTGGATGAGTTTGAGATTTTTGAATTCATCACATTATTTCCAAGAATAAGATATAATAGTATTATTTTATGAAGCAAAAATGCTCATCAAAGAAAAACACATGTTTTTTATACATGTGATTGAATATATATAAATTCATACATTGTACTTTGTGNAAAAAAAAAAAAAAAAAAAAAAACAGGTTAGAGATGTTGAAAATAAAGTACAAACAAGTGTGTTATTTTCTGTAAAAATCAGTAAAATAAGTAATGTATTGTCACAATCGTGGGTGTCCTTTGAATCTGTTCTCATGGCCAAAAAAGCAATCAAACAGACATCGGCTATTATGACGAGAGCGACTTAACCTAACCATACTAAAGTTTTCAAAAGCCAAAAAAACTCATATATCCCATCTTCACTACATAACATATGTATCACACAACATGTCATGATTTGTTACGTTTTATTTTATAATATTTATTTTATTTTATATTTAAAATAAATTAAATAAAATGACTTTGTGGAAGTTTTGTTTGAGATAATAAACTAACTACATAAATTATAAGCATTCTGCTCAGTTTTTTAATTTTATGAAGTATTTTATGCAATTAATTAGTGGCATTTTTATTTTTTTTTTTTCTAATTTTTAGCAGGATGTGTTTGATTTTAGTAACCCGTGACACATTCTACAATCTCAAACATTATTGTCATATTTTGCTATCCTAAATTTACCATTCACAGTTTTGCCTTTATTTTATTTTTTAATACTTTACTTTTGATTTTCTCAACTTTGATGAAACAATATTTTATACCTAACATATCACATATGTGTTAATTTCATCATCCGTGGCGTCATCATTTTATTATTTTAACTTTAGGGTTCCTTCTAGTTTTGTCCATGTTACATATAAATATTTGTGTACTAACATTTATGTACTAGTATTTATTTATATTTCAATATTGCCGTACAATTTTAAGATCGAAGGTTGAAGAAAAATAACGAGGCCCACTCTCTTTTTATAATATATTGTGTTTTCTGCAAGCTGTTATGTTTCTAAATTACTTTATTATTATTATTATTATCATTATCAATGTTATTATTTTATGTTGCATTTGCTTGTCAATGGCCACGTCAGGTGGTCCACTGCTTTCACATTGCATATATTTTCAAACAAAATATTAGGTCTCATCTAATTACATGAAAAGGGAAATTTGAAAATAGTCATTTATATGTCTCATTCAAATATGAAAAGGAAAATTCTGAATCGTTATTCAATAGTTCGGAAAATTCGGGCCTTACATACGTTTTCAAATAAAATTTTAGGTCTCATCTAATTAGATGAAAGGGAAATTTAAATATCTAAGTCTTTTATATGTCTCATTCAAATATGAAAATGAGCACTCGAGTCATTATCCAATAGTTCGGAAAANATTAAATAACACGTATAATGTCCTTTTTTAATTGAATTATTGTTCTGTAAATTGCTACGTATATTAGACCTGAAATTAAAATTAAAATATAAGAAAAGATAAGAGTGGAAGATTTTGATTCCTCATAATGAACATAGTTTTGGGTCAGACCCAAATTTCTTATTAGATTCTTTCCTTTGCATTGGAGCCACAAAATTCTGCAAAAAAAACCAGATTCGTACCTTTCTCTCTCTTCTATTTACAGTTAAATAAAATCAAAATATTAGATTTACACCTACATATATGTAATAAAGTCACAAGTACTGTACGTAATATAGTTGAAAAAGGAAAGTGTAATTAGGTGAGAAAATAATACTAGTACTTTAAAGATAAAATTAAAAAAAAAATAAAAAATTTGGAAAGTCAGGGAACACATCATGGGCAATCAATTATTAAATCAATAAAACAGTTGGCAGACACAAACTGTGAAGGTACAATATTTGGAAGATTGGACCATTTTTAAAAAAATGTGTGGTGTTTTTGGGCTTTCCTAATTTGGAATTTCTTCTGACATTTGAAAACTGTCTCATGCCCTTTTTTTTATTTTTTTTTTTTAATCTGGGCCAAATCCTCGTGAGATTTCTTGAGCAAATCTAATCGGGTGATTGGATATAAAACCTTTTGGTTTTGAATTGATTTATTTAAAAAATTGACTTGTTTTGAATAAAATTGATTGAGTGAAAAATTTAGTAGAATTTTGAATTTATATTTAAAAAATATTTAAAATGTAATGATTAAAGTTAATGTGGATATAGCTCAGTAAAACTGGTCGTGGTTAACTCGGTCTATAGAAAGAAGATCAGCTAGGTCGGTTAGATTAAGAAGTAATCAAGTGTTCAGACAACTAAGATTAACCAGGTGTAAGATACAACTAGACATACATGAACTAGACATACATGGAGCTCGTGCCCTATGTTGACATGGGTAGCTCGAAATTTATGTAGCTCGGCATATTTATGGAGCTCGGCACATGTTAATATGGGTCTACCTAGAAAACACAGATAGATTGATAGCTCAAGTATTGAGGAGCTCGGTAATCAGTGGCTCGATGAGTGACCCCAGTAAGAAGATCGACCTATGCGATAGGTCGAGTCTAAGTTGTCCATGAAGGGCATGTGTAGAGTCATGAATAAAAGGAATAAATAATCGAACGAGTAGGAATAAGGCCTTGATAACTGACGGACAGGTCTAGGGGTAGCCTAATTACCGACGGGCCTACTTGGGCAGAAAGGGCAGTAAGGCAGGCCTTCGGGCAATCAGGCAGGGCAGAAGCTTGTTCAGAAGCTAATAATCCTCTAAAAATAGGTAAAGTTGAGAAAAAAGGTAAACATTAATTACTCTTTATATACTCTAAGCTTTCAGTATATTTACATACAGTTTTCCATATCACCTTACTGACTTGATTGTAGGAGTTTTAACGCCAAGATCACTTTCTGGCGTCTTTGTAGGTCTTCGGGGAGAAGAGCGGTCGAGAGATCTTGGAGAGTTGGTTTGAGGTTCAACTGCACATCAGTTGGTGCCGTCTGTAGTGTAACTCTTTTGCTCTATTGGTTGCAGAGGAAGTTAAGATGGAGAAGACGAATATGGTGGACAAGAGGTTGAAGTGGAATTTGGATGAAAGCCTGGAGGAGGTTTGGGCAACCAAAACACCCTTTGGTGTCCACCTCCGGGATGGGCTAGTGGCGAAAGAATGGTGGTTTGGTGTTCTTTGCTGGGTCGGTTCTTAATTGCTTTTTGGTTGGCCGGGCCCGGTCATAGTGATTTGGTGTTCTTCACTCTTCGCGAAAGACACATGTCGCTTGGAGAATGCCTCAGTTAGTTCGGTTATCAAAACTGGTATTAGTTAATTATATTTTAATAAAAGTACTTTAAAACAAGAGTTACACAACTATTTTTAATTTTTTTTTAAAAACGCTACGCGAATATAGAGTGTTAGATAACGGTACACATGAACGTGACTTGTCATTTACGACAAGACACGTGGAATTTCCACAACAATTGTCTTTTCATAAGTTTAAAAGTTATGGAACTATTACTAATGAACTGCATTCCAGTATTATTGATTTTAAATTGCCAATCAATTCCTTTTATTCAAACTTCATTGAATGGAAAAGAGACCATCTTTTTTTCCAATAAGAGATGCACTGCGGAATTGCAGTGACATCAACTTCCAATGAACAACTTTTTTGCCGTGATTTTAAAAATTCTAAATTCTTATTTTGACTCAAACAAAAGATCCAAAAAAACCAAATTTGTAAGTTGAGTATTATGATTTATGAATAATAAAATTTGATAAAATGCTTCCACATGTCTAACCTTTTCTTGAATTGTTTACAAAAACTAATATTTTTTACTCAATTTATCTGGTTTAAACATACTTAAAGGGAATTTCGCAAAGCTTGATAATTCATTAAAAAAAACCACACACACACGAAACCACAGACACCACTTTTTTTTATTGACGGAAGAAAATAATAGACAGTTGATAAGTAGTTATTCAAAAAAAAATACCAAAACTAGGTTCCCCTTAACATGTGGCCTTAGTGGCCTATTTCAAGTATACATTATAATAAGATCAAATCAATCTTGTCTTGGGGCACTCGAAAATTGTCCAAATGCATTTCAAGTACTTGTGCCTCATCATACACTCATAAATTAGAATAAAGGCATAAAGCATTATAATCCTTTGCAAAACCAGTTACTGTAATGATGCAACATAAAAAAGATGATGTTTTTTACTTTCTTATGCTCCACTTGAAAAAATTCAATAGAAAGGACTTAAACATCATTTCCAAACAGAAGATTGAAGATGTCAAAATTAAACTGCCAATTCATGTAAAGCAGAAAAGTTATCTTACTACTAATAAATAATAATAATAATAATAATAAGATAATCCTTCTTATACACAATTTGAGTAAGAAATAATCATATGTAGTTGATTGCATTTCAAAAACTACTAACCTATATATGTAACCCACCAAAAGGGTCAAAAACTTGTAGCTTGCTACAACAACAGCAATGGACAAGAAAAATTGGCCAGAAAAATAACTCGAAAGGGTCTCTAGCGTTGAATTGTTTACGATTTGAAAATAACCTGCGTTTAAAAACTGGACAAAATAAATCTATAAACAAAACCAATATTTGGAATTGATATATATACATATGGATTTTTGCTACTTCGTACAATATGGGTAATTGTATGGACACCCTTATGTACAAGTAGCAAAACTCTATGCAAAAAGAAGTTCTATCTGGCATGAATATAGCAGAATTAAGATAATCATCAGGTCATGTATAATGGAACACCAGTTGTTACTATGTATAGACTCTCATATTATCTCATCCAAAGAACAAAACAAAAAAACAAAATAATTTTCGGAACAAGTTTGATCAACAAGCTTAAAACATTTTAAATCTCATAGCATCTTTAAAAGAAGCAAAGCCGAGCACAGCCAGTTGAACCATGAGGGCAAAAATGTAAAAAGCTACCTGGTAAATGGTGCTAAATGCATAATGAACCCATGTCTGGTGGGCCTCCATCGGACTGAATGGTATTATTTGTAGCAGCTGAGCTAACTTTCCGAGCTTGCTTTCGGTCTTTTCGATTCTTCCCATAGTCAACTGTTTGATTACTATCAATGTAAAACCGTTCAAGTCCATTACGAGAAATATACAGATGCTAAGAATGAGTTAGTTGGTTAGTGTTTCAGACATACATTTTGGGAAAATAATTAAAAATAAAAAAAATATACATATATTTAGGCTATGTTTGGTAAAACTAACTGATAAACTAGCTTATAGCTTATAAGTAATTTTCGAGCTTATAGCTTATGACTTACAGCTGAAAAGCTAGCTTATATGATAAAAGTGTTTGGTAAAATTAGCTGACAAGCTAGTTGAAATAAAAAACTTCAATTAGCTTATTCGAAAAGCTACCCAAAGAAGCTTATGAGATAAGCTCGAACTCTTTGAAAAAGCTCGTCCTACCAACTTATTTAAATGCAGGAAGCTTATAAGCTAACCAAATAAGCTATAAGCTAGCTTATTTGTCTACCAGCCTTAATGTTAGAATTGTAGACGCAACAGAGAAAGATGCATCCTAGAGGGTTTATGTGAAAATCTAGTTTTCACAAGTCAAATAAAGTTCCAACCACTAATTTACCACATAATTACAAATTAAACAGTTTCACTAACAGAAAAGAGGATTGAATGCGAATTCATACACTGGAAATCTGGCAGAAGATTTTCCGGCAACTGCACCACAGCAAGACTTATACTTCTTTTTCGAGCCACAAGGGCAGGCTTTGTTTCTCGAAATTTTCTGTTTTGAAAGATAGATTTAACCAATCAGCAAAATAACTGATAGGGTGAAAAGATTTCCAAATTTGATTACCTTTTCATCTTTTTGCAAGCTGTTCCTTTGGCAACTTATTTCCACACCATTGCCAGATGAATCAAGCTTGCATGTCTCATCCACAGGACGCTCGGACTTTTCACTCTGAAGTTCATCTGGAAAACCATACAGATTAAAAAGTATGAAGCTAAGTAGATTTATTGCTAAAAAATATAAAGAAAAAGGTTTCATAAGGACCGTACGTAGAACATGCCATGATAAGACAATAGACACAGAAACATTAGCGTGCTTAAAATTTGCCTAATAATGTACATAGATTCCATTTTCAAAATTCAATAAATTTTCTAGGTTCATTTGATGAAGTCAATATTTCCATAGTGTAACTTAAGTATAACAAGACAAAAGCATAGCTAGATTCTGGATATGATAATTTTAAGCTGCAAGAGATATATGCCATCTCTTCAATGACTAATTTAATCCAGTATCCATATTTCTTCAATGACTAATTTATTTCAATAAAACCACCAAATTTTAATTGATAGTTCAATATTTCAAACGGCCTTTTCCACTAAAATAACAGAGGCATAGATAATATGCACGATCTTCATTTTCATCAATTGAAACAGAAACCAAATACACGTTCACAGAACTGTAGGAAAACAAATTATATATCAGACAAGGAAAACTACTAACCAGCAACAGTCCCATCGAGAAGTCTTTGTTCAGCCAATAGGATTTCTACAGCGGCATCAACGTCACCCCCCATTTGTTGTAAAGCCTAAAATGGCAATAGCATAGATAGGAACAAAACTTTACTACACCTGTTTGACAAGTAATAACCTATTTGAAGAAAAGTTAGCTGGCTGCAAACTCCAGAACATTATTATAGCACTTAGCGCTAAATTTTGTCTAGAAGTGCAACAGATGCGCTATTGAACAACTTATGCAGATCTAAAACTATACTATTTCAGCGCTAAACTTCTCTTTTACTTTATTTTCTTTTTTCCTTTTTGTTAGATTGTGTGCATGTGAGTGAATGTGTGTGTCTGTGTGTGTGTGTGTTGATCTGTTTGTTTAATTTGCTATATATATTTTTACCTAATTGAAATGGTATTTTATCTCAACTAACTTAACTGATATTATATTAATTATTAATAATAAACATAAGTAAGATTAAATCGAAATAACAATATATTATAAATTACATTTCTTATGGAATATTGTTGTGAATAATATTCTATTTTGTTTTAGTTTCACGAAATAGTTAACATCAAATTACAAATTACACTTTGGTCATTGCACCAGAAAATATGTAAAACAAAATCATATCTCTGATCTGATTACCAGCTACAAACCAATAAAAGAACAGATCAAACTGGATAAAAAAAGAAAAAAAAAGGAATCACATTGGAATATATTTTAGCGCAAAATATAATGCACATTGATGGACATGGAGGGCAATTTTCTGTGCAAATAGTACAATATCAGGCTAAAGTGGCAAAAGCTACTGGAGATGGCCTTAATCAGAGGCATATTTTATTTAAATATTCCAGCTTTCACGTTTAGGCTGGAGAAAAATTCATGGCTGATGAGGAGCAGTCACCTGTTCGACTTTTGTTGCATCTTCACACCCACTTCCCGCCTTTACAACAGCCCTTCTGCCTTCCTCTTTTGACTTCCTGGCAGTTGCTTTCGGTTGGTTGGCATTTGCTGAAACAGCAGCATCGCCCTTTTTCACAAAACAAGATGATTATCAAATTATAGTTAAAGTACGTAAATCAAAAGTGAGAAAAAGAAAGAAACCTTAATGACAATTTCCCTAGCTGGACCAGCACAACTGTCATCCTTCGAGCGCACGCTATTGTAATGCTCGCCATCATGATAAGAGCTGCAAACAATTAAATGGCCAAAATCAGAGATTAACAAACATATCCATGAAAAGTAGAACACGTACAATCTATAATAGTACGGGAAATTTAAGCAACTACCAAACAGACCATGCGGAATCAGATAGTTTGGCACAAAAGTGGCACCATTTAGTGCAAAAGCTGCGATAAAATGGCCTTAGGGAACAATCGAAGTTGAAGGCGGAAAGCACGATTATTACATTCCCTAATAAGCATGCACTAAATAGGAAGTTGACAATAAAAATACTTTTAGGTCAAATAACTTTAGTACTTTACTGACTCTAAGCTATTAAAGTACTTTAAGCATTATATACTAATGCAGTTGAAAATACACAACAAAGTCGAGCGACAGATGTGAAAAAACTGAGTTAGTTGTAACCAAGCACGACTGGAAAAACTATAAATTAATTTCAATAACTTAGGGGGTGTTTGTTTATAAATTTTTTCAATTTATATTCAATTCATACTCAAATTCTAACTCAACTTTAACTCAATCTCACTATCCTCAATATTATCAATAATATCAATCATCATTCGTACACATCACATCAACTTTAATTAACTGTTCATCTACTCATATAATTTTAACTAACAATAGGGGTAGAGAGAACACTTACAGATGAATCATTCGAGCTTCAAGTTTGTCGAAATTCCGTATGTACCAGCGTGGAGACATGTTCTGCGCAAATAAGTAACACTACATTAAAATCACAATCAATAAAGAACATAAAAGCACAAAAAAGCTGAATCTTAATTCTAACAATAATACTAATATTAATAATAGTATTAACAACATACATTGGAAATATTCGCATCCGTAATCAAATAAGGAGAACTTATGATAATGGTTTGGGAAGGAAAAGAAAAATAAATTACCCTGTGAATGCATATGTTACTATGAGTGACAAGAGAAGCTGCTTGCAGTTCCACGTTTCCTGCCCAAGTGCCATCCTCGCCCATGGATAGACAGTATTCCTCAAATGGAACTTCGTCCTCAACAAAGGGTTCAAACATTTCCCGATTATTCTGCCATATCATGCAACTCATCAATAAATGAACTTAATTTTTTGCTTGCAGTTCCACGTTTCCTCCAAAAGGTGCTCAAAACCCTTTAAGATGTACATTTTTTGCATCCAAATTAACTTAATTTTCCAAATTTGATCACATTTCACTTAATGCGGCGTTAAAAGCACCGGAACTCACTTCCCGCATTTTTTGCCCAGTTCATGATGCAAATATAGTATCTCGATCAATTTGAACTAAAACGCTTTATCAACCAAATTAAGCAAAAATGAAAAGCTTTCACCTATTATACATTCACTCTTTATCCTAAATGGTTAATACTTTAGTCATAAAAACAGCAAATTTAATACCCATCTTCACAAAAAATTCACCTTAATAAATTGAACAACCATATTCCGATACTTCTCGTGCTCATCCTCATCACCATCCAATTGATCTGCCAATGCCCTGCACCTCAGGAAAAGACACCAATATAATCAACTACATTGCAAATTAGATAAGAAAAAGGGATTAAAAAAAGGGGATAAACGTACAACCATCTCCAATAATGCAGGAACATGAAAATTCAATCCACAAAAGAAAGGCGCACCTGAAGAAACAATTACCATCGGCAGTCACTTGAATTATTTTCAGGCCTAACGCATCAAGCTGCCCCCGCAATTCAGACACGTCGTTTTGCTGCTTTCCGCCGCGTTTTTTCGGCTGTTCATGAGTCGTACAACGTCAGTAAGCAGATAAATCATAAAAAATTGCGATTTTTTCTAATAATAGATAAAAGAAGAAGAAGAAGAAGAAAAAAAAAGTTCCGGCAGTACTTGCGGCTGTTTGGCTTGTCTGCTAGGCTTAGCCTTGTGATGCTTGGGTCTAGCCATTCTATGTTCTCTCTTGTGTTGTGTACCAGTTAAAGTTGTTCTGTCACTCAGAGTAGCAGTTTTCAAAATAAGGGTTTGTAATTGGGGGAAAACAAAAGTTTGTTAATTGTCGCTTTGCCTTGTTTTAGAGTTTCATTTATATATTTTGTCCATTTAATTTATGTAATAGAATTTGAGATTTTTTGCCAAAAATAGTAGAATTGAATTAATAAATTATCATTAACTTCATGGTCATCCCAATTTATTTGACTTTTAAAGTTAATACTTTCACACTTGAAAATAATTGAAAAAAATAGTAAATTTGATGTAAAGAAAATTGAATTAGAACATGAAATTCGCTCATACTACCGTAAGTAGATTTTATTTATTTATTTATTATTTTTTTATGTTGGTTCATACATACACACATCAACATAAATGTGTGTTAAACTTGATGAGTACATTGTCCTCATTATATAAATATTGCTATATCTTTATTTCTTTGGTGTTGTAATCGCCAACCATTTTTAACAATTTTTTCGTACAATACATTTTTGAAATTTGACTCAGATAAGCAAAATATAACATGTAGATTTTCATGTTCTTTGAATAAATTATAAACATTGAAGGAATGTCTAAGCATGGTTCGATTTGCCTTAAATGCACTATAAGGTGCAACAAATCCAGGATTCATAAAATCAAGCAGTAAATACTAAAAACTAAAAATGTTTAATAGTTTGAATTTTCGGACTGTGCCATGCAGAACACAAAATAAAAAGTTGGGCAAAGATTCAAAAAAATATTATATAGATAGGACTGCAAATGTAAAGAGTAAAATTTTTCCTAATTTTTTAACTTGGACTATCTCTTTAACAGTTTTTCTATTACACTCCTTGAATATAGCACCCTATAATTTTTCGGTACCGCTACAGCCCTCACCAATTTTTACTCCATGAACCTATTCCCTCACGTGTATTTAAAATAAATAGTCATATTAAAGTCTTTAACCCATCTTTATCTCTTAAGAAATTAAATTATATTTATATCTTATTAAAAGTCTTTAACCCCTCTATCTCTCAAGCCCTGTATCGTCGTTTCCTACAAATTTTTAATGGCTAGCTTCTTCTCAGCCGCCATAACAGGATCAAAGTTCAAACAGACACCAAATGCACTATAATACAAGTTACAACAAATCCCAACAAATCGATCACTCTGTAATTAAAAAACAAAAAGAAAAAAAGTCTATCTCGGAGACCATCAACGACACCCCTTTTCTCGACGACCAGTCCTTCTTCTGCACCCGCAGCCGATTTCTACGCCGTCACCCCAGCCTCGGCGGTGCCACCCTCTTCCTCCGTCGCGCCAGCAGCCGCTGCCGTGCGATTCGCGAGCCCGCTGTCCGCGTTCGCAAACCCTGTGGTTTGTGATTCCTTATTTTGGAACCAATTTTATTTTGCAGCAAAAAAGAAAAAAGAACTCAATTTTAATAAATCTTTGAAAATTCTAAAATTCATGGGGGAATTAGAAGAAGAAAAATGGAGAGAGATAAGAGAAGAAGTATATGGCAAAAAAAATAAGACGATGTGGGGGAATTAGAACAGGAAAAATGGAGAGTAATAAAAATGGGTAAACATAAGAGATAAGAGAAGAAGTACAAAAAAATAAGACAATTTGAGGGAATTGGAACAGAAAAAATGGAGAGAGATAAAAATGGATTGACACATCAGAGAGTACTCGATACGGTGGGAACTTGACGGGACAAGAAACATTTTTTATTTTAGCTCTCTATTTCACTTATACTTCAGCGCCACTCTAAAGTCTACTTTTTCAACTCCCTATTTTTGGGACTCCAAATTTTACTTTTATTTCAATAAACACCTTATATATATCACTCTTTATTTGTTTTTATTAAATCTCTTCTAATTACTACGTAAAAATTGTATAAATTTTAGCAACAAATGAATATTGATTACTTTAAAAATAATTTCGAGTACTAATGTTAATTTTATTTTGTATTTTATAATTATGATGTGTAACAGTTTAATATATAATTATATACTTATTTCACCCGTTATAAAATAACTTTTATATTAGAAATCATATTTAGAATTAAAGAATACAAAAATTTAACACTGATATGGGATAACATACCCGGAAGAGCAAACATAATGAACAAGTCAACCAGGTCGAAACCAGGGCAGCAGGAAGGTCGATTGTTTCAAAAGGACAACGACAGGTCGAGCTAGGGCTCTCAGATGACCTGTTGAAAACTCGACCTGCAGGGCAAGGTTGGTCGTATGATCGACCAGAAAGAACAACACTTAGACTCAGAACATACAACACTCTAACTCAGACGACCTCAAGCTGGTCGCACCATTAGGCAGTCTAACATGAAAGACTAAGGGATAAGAAGGAATCTTAAAGGGTTAAGTCACACGTGGATAGGCCCACGTGGCCTAACAGAATTGGGCAGTTCGGGTTGTACTATTGGGTAGACCTGGCAGTTTAGGCAGCCCATTCGGGCAGTTTTGGGCACCAAGGTATTATTTCTCTATATAAGGGAGTGAGGTATGTTCGTTATCACATTACACTCTCTACATACATTTTCCATATTGCACTTCATCTTCTACAAGTGCTAACTTAAGAATCAGAGAGTCTTCACTGGAAAACCGCTCCCGTATGAGAGTTTTCGCAGGTCCAAAGGCATTCAACTAGCGAGGAGCTCGAGATCAGGCCGATTCCAGCCGGTCGGAGGTCTTTTACGTACCATTTTGATGTCGTCTGTGGGAACTTCGTTGTCATGAAACACCATAGCCATGGCAGGGGAAATTCCCAGGAAGAACTTGGAACCAACGTTCGACGATGTGTGGCCGAACACGAGTCTGTTCGGAGCAGGCCCCTCGCCGGGCTTCTCTGGACCCTCTCAAACCCCGATGCCCCATCTCACGGGCTTAGGCAGTTTGTCGGCGGTCCTAGTGGTAGTTGCAGGCCCAAGAAACCCATCGAAAACTCGAGCAACACAAGAGGTTGCAGATCGGGCCAATTCGCAGCCAGGGTGAGGGTGGACCAAGCGATGGGGCCACCGAGGATGGAGGCAGAATGAGCTGACCTCCATATGGTCATGATGTCGAGGCAGGAGTTAGAGCAGATGATTGGTCGTGCGTCGCAACGAGGGAAATTAGAATTTATAATGTTCCTCAACTAACCTCCACTAACTAGTAGTAGCGGCGAGTAAGGGTCGATCTCACGAGGAGTGTGAATCAAATTGTGATTTTTCTCATATTAATTGAAATTATAAAAGCAATAAAAGGGGGGGATTGGATTTAATAATGAAACTAACTAAAAAAAACTAATGAAGCAAATAAAATTTAAACAAATAAAATAAAAATAAAATAAATTAAATTACAAAAAAATTTCAGTTCACGGTTCTGTCTACATCCTCGCTCGACTAGTCTAACTAATTGTGACGTCAAGAGTTACTATTTTCTGAAATTACTAGCCCTAGATAACAACACGCTCTGCTACTCGAATTTTTCCTTAGTTTGTTTGTTTGCATATGATCTCAGCGGCAAGTTACCATTTGGTTTTCCAAAATTCACATGATCAAGGCTTCTGAGCTAGGTGATCGATCCGAGTGCTAGTCCAAGGAAAATTCATCATGATTAAGGCCTTCGGGCTGGATGGTCTCTTGTTTGAACAGCCTCAATGGAGGATTGGGCAAGTGTAGAAGACAAACCCAACATGACTAAGGCTTTCGAGTTGGGTGGTCGCTTGTTTGAACGACTCCAGAGAGGGGTTAAACAAGTGGTCAAGACAAATCCACCATAACTCAGGCTTTTCAATTAGAAAAATCGATGTGAATATGGTTCTTTTCACATCTGTCCAAAACCTATTTTTTTAACGATGTGAACATATTTTCTAACCGATGTAAAAAATGTTTTTTTCTACTAATGATGTATAAGGCATTGTAAGCTCTGTATGTACGGTATGATTTTACACAAAAAAAAAAAAAAATGAGAATGAGAATTCTCCCATAATATCTTCTTCAAATTTAACATGCCCAGGTTTGACTTTTGGTCAACTGTCTTGGGTCGACACTCTAGGCCAGCAATTTGAATAACCAAACTCGGCCCATTTTTTATCATAGTCAACCGTTTTTAGTCCAATCTAAATGACAAAATTATGTTTATAACCTACCTATATCGCTTTCTAGACTAGAAGAATGCGATAAGCACTATAAGTGGACCAGCTTGCATACATACATACTTCAAGTTGCTTGAATAATATTAATGAAGAAAAGAAATGAGAGGGAATAATTAGAAAGATGTGAATGAACAACTAATCCCATCTTTTGTTTGGTATGTTTGAATAAGAGCCATGACGAAAAGAGATGAGAGGGAACAATTAAGAGATGTGAATGAACAACTAATCCCATCTTTTGTGTGCTTTGTTTGTCCATTGGCCATTGTTGGTTGGTGGCAACATCTTTAACTATAATCAAAAGAATTGTGCAAAATTTAATTAATTTCAGTTAATTGTATCACTATCATCAACAATGGTAGGTGGGGAAGCTAATCCAATTTATATATATATATATATATAATAAAAATTATCATTTACCAAAAATAATAGTAAAAAACAGGTCAGAATTTAATGCAGTCTATAAATAGTATGTTTTATTATTTTTCTTTAAAAATCATACAGCATTAAATGCTGCCTTAAAGTTCGGGCTTTAGTTCAAAAAATCCGGTTAAGATTTATTAAGTGTGTATGTTTTTATTTTTATTTTTTTCTTAGAAACAACGAACAACATTAAAATCTCATTTCAAAATATAACAAAAGTTATAGAATCTTAGTCTTTATATTTGTGCCTTTAAAAAAATATTTAACGCTAAAATTATTTTTTAAATCGCATAATCAATCAATTAATCTTAATTTTTTTAAAATCACTATGTATATTTTTTTATTAAATTGCATAAAGTAAAAATAATTAACTCATCTTTAGATATACAATTTATAATCTTAATATACTATCATTTGGTGTAGACATTTATTATATGAATCATAAAATATTTTTATTTCATAAAATTAAATATATTTAAAGAAAATAAGAAAATTTATTTGGATCAATCGGGTGATTGAATTGTTGATTAAATTACTTTTAGGTGAAATTTAAAATAGTAAAAAAAAATTGACACAACTTGGTTGGTCCCAGGTAACTAAGTTATGTATCAGTTCGACCACACCAAATCGATTACTGAACCTAAATATAAATTTTATATTGAAAATATTTCATTACGTGAATGTGATATAGTCCAAACTTTAAATAATCGTATTAACAATACTTTTATGACAACATGTTTAATTATTTATGAATATTTATATATCATTTTATTAATATTTATGTGAATTAAATAATATTTAATAATGTACAGTAAATATAAGGTTTTTATAAATGGACCGTCATCAAAACGATCAAGCTATTTTATTAAATCATTTGTGGTGTGTTCAGATTTTAATTTATAAAAATTTTAATATAGATATATATATATATATACACACACATATATATAGTACTTTTTGTAATAAATTTAAATAAAATGTGTTACTTAGATATCTAAACAATTTATAAATTCAAAATTTAAACTAATTGATAAATAATTTATAATTCTCTATTTTATTTAAATATGTGATTTAAATTAAAATAATTTTAAATATAACAAACTTTATTTAGAAAATCGTATTGATCCTACCAGTTCACCGACTGGTGTTGACGGATTAGAGAGAAAATATTTTATTCAAGCGAACTAGACTGGTTATAATCCGGTTCTCGGTCCATCCGGTCGGACTGCGTCCTACTCGATTTAATTTAAAAACAATAGATAAATCATGATTAATGTTATTTATATATTTAATTTATAATACAATCGTAATATTGTTTTCCCGTGTATCGCACGGACCACGCACTAGTGTGATTTAAAGCCCAAATACTATGATTAGTACTTAAGTATGACATAATTATCAAACCATCAAGAAGGTAAAAACAGAAAAAGTTGTCAAAGAGGTGTACCTAATTTAAGGGACTTATCTTCTAATTATAGTTACGAGTACTTGGAGAGAATTTTATGTTTTAAGTTTCAAAGCTTTCTTAAAAGTTGCATTAATAGTGTACACGGTGCTATTAAAAAATTATACTTGGAGAGAGTTCTATGTTTTAAGTTTCAAAACTTTATTAAATTATCGTTTATATTTAAAATGACACAAAAAATCTATGGAGTCATCGAATGATTTTTTTATAGAGTCATCTACCACTTAATGTATTGACACTTGTCCAAATTGTAAAATGACATGTGTCACTTGTACAACTTAATTATTCTATAATATAATGAATTTTTGGGTTCATATAATATGATGGGATTGATAAATCAGTTAATTTTATTTGAAAAAAAAAAAAAAGTTAATCAAGTGTTTTATAATTTTAAAAGTTCTAATAGACATGGATAAAAATTCAAATTTATTTAGTCTGCTACAAGTCATTAGAAATCAACATATATATAGGATTACTAAGTTAATGTATTATTACATCTGTGTTTGCCTTTAGAAACTTATAACCAAAATGTGGCTACTAAGTTAAAGGTAGTCCTAACTTAATAAACATTCTCTTACAAGAAAGATGTCTTTAGAAAATTATAACCGAAAACGTGGCTGCTACATTAGAGGTAGTCCTAACTTAATAAACATAGTCTCTTATAAGAATTATGTGAGAACTTCTTATTTACAATCTATTTTTCGAATATTTCGTAATTTATCATGTACTCCTTCAAACATGTCAAAGTTAGTCATTTTATATAGTATTGTTGATTGTTGTTGGTCATGCCTAGCTCTTAAGTAAAAATAAAAAATAAAAATAAAAAATAAAAAATAAAAAAAATAAAATGAAAAGTTTAAACCTTCGCTGAGTGATATAAGTAGTAGAATTAATTGAATTTTGTAATTCACATAAATGCAGATGGCATCACTTAAAAGTATTCAGATAAATCAATATTAATAAAATAATTAAATTATTAATTGCATCTAAATGTGTCATGTTTCGCGTTTGCTAGTGGCTCTTTGTCCTGTCCGTTTAGTGACATTCTTCTTTTCTCACACAAATACATATATAAAAATCAACAGAGAATTTACATCAAATTTAAGATTTAAACATAATATAGTGATAATGGTTGAAAGGTACGTACAACAACCAATGGCCACGAAAATATCATGAAACCACTACTAAATTAAGATAACATCACTTATTGGGTGCTTAGTGCAATACTAACATCCTTATGTCAATTAAATAATAATGAGTTTATGCATTTCATAATGAAAAGGGAGGGGCCCATGGTGATAAAGCACAATTACTTATGGGATAAAAGAAGGAAAATTGTGAGATTCGATTATGTTTGCTAAAATTAACTGATAAGCTAACTGATAGGTGATAAGATTGTTTATAGCTTATAAGTGATTTTCGAGCTTATAGTTTATAGCTTAGAACTTATAGTTGAAAAATTAACTTATATGATAAAAATATTTAGTAAAATTAGCTGATAAGCTAGTTGAAATAAAAATTTTAACCAGCTTATTTGAAAAGCTACTCAAAAAAGACTCGTCTTATCAAACCAAGTTTATTTAAATACAGAGAATTTATAAGCTAATAAAATAAATTATAAGCTACTTTGTTTGGTTACAAAACAAAGTATTCTGAAAAAAGGTTATCAGAATGGAGGTTATATATAAAGTGAAAAATAATATTGGAGAGTAAGACTTAATTATTTACTGAATGTAAATAAAATAAAATATGAACAATTAAACTTAATACAATAAGATCTATGCACTATAAAAATTGTTATATTTCAACGAAAAATCATACGGTAATATATTGTAATGGAAATTCCAACGGATATTCCAATGATATAGCTTCCGTTGGAACGATTCCAATGAAAATTCCAACGAAAATATTACGTTGGAATGAGTTTTTCTTTAGAATTTTAGATGGAACTTGATGATTCCAACGCCTATTTTTCCAACGATTTTTACCGTAGGAATTTCCGTTAAAATATGCAATTTACATTGGAATTTTAGTTCCACCCGTTAAAAAATCTACCATTGGGATTGTCAAAATCCAACGGAAATTCCAATGGAAAACTCATTCCAACGGAATATTTTTGTTGGAATTTCCGTTTGAATCCATTGGAATATATTTTCGTTGGAATTTTCCATTAGAATTTCATCATTTTCTTGTAGTGATAATTATAACAAAATATCCACTAGAGACGAATGAAAAATAATCTATATCAATCGCCTCATCAACCCCAAATTTATGCATGGAAAAAGCAGAAATTATGGATATTCTTTCTCCTCAATCACAAATTTACAATTACTGAAAGTTCCGCAAAAAGTGGTACAATTACTTAGTTCTAACATTCCAAAATAAAAATGCCAAAATGTACTTATAGTTAAATAAACACTAGCATACATTGACTTTTTTTGGCTTTTGTTTGTACATATACAGATAATGACACGCAAGTATTTAATAAGATATATTACTATTTAATAAGATATATTACTAGTACATATCAATTTTCTTTTATGGACCTTTGAAAATGTATAAAAGTGGATTTTTTTTTTATTATATACAATATACAAATTTAATTAAACAATCATATTTCTTTTTCTTTCTTAGTTTTGGTTTTGGACATGTATGGCTGCATTAGACGCAAATAATGAATCATGATAAAAATTGGAAAGTGACGCCCGCTCTTACAGCTCATCGGGTCAAAGCACCCGCCTGACCCGATCCAACCCTGCATCCAAATCATCTTCCTCTCTCCCAAAGCACACGCAGAGGCAGAGTTGTATATATAAATACATAAAATAAACATACACGAAAAAATATATAAAACTCTATATATACATATAATATATTAGCTTCACTGTAATATTGCTAGAGAGTGTTCACAAGGTTTCTGGTTTTTTAGCAAAAGCTGGTGAGTCAGCATCGTGCTTCAGATTTCTTTTTTTTTTTTCCTCAGATTTTATTAATATGTTTAATGTATTTGTGTTTTGTCAAATAAATTATGTTCGAGTATGAAATCCAAGTGTTTTGCTTCGTTGTCATATTATGCAGCATTTTTTTTTTCGTTAATTTCCNAACCAGTAAATATTTTATTTAACTAGTAAATAACCAGTTACCTTGAATCTAAATTTTATTTTTGCTTGTATAATTTGTATCATAGGACAGGGCATGCAATGTTAGCACTGTTCTTGATTTCTAATTTAATTTAAGCGTAAATGAGACGATGATTCCTGTTTACTAATTCCAACATATAGGTTTTTCAGTCAGCGTTATAGATTAATATCAGCCATATTTGAGAAGACAAATGGATCAAAAGTCACCACTTTGGAAGAGGTCAACTGAGAAGACGCTAGCAGCTGATAGAACAGCAAATTACAATCCTTTTATCAGAAATGAAGAAAAAACTGAGGTGATGTATTCAATTCAATGAAGCTTCTTCTTTATTTTCTTATATTTCCTTCTTTTTGTCCCTTTTGTTCTCCTTCATATTTGCATATTATTTCATGATACAGAATTTTAAACTAACTCTCTGTGTGTATTTGTGTGTGTGTGTTTAACAGGTACTTGAGCTCGTGACCGATAAAATAAAACTAGAAAGAGATGCCAAAAAACAGTTCGGAGTTTCACATGAAGCTATTGCAGGTACTGTACATGTCTATGTTTCAACTGTAGTCTACCTTTTATCTTAACTTTTTAATCATTTTCTGCATAATTTAACTAGGATTCTAATCTTACAAAANGAGTCCTACAACCCAAAATTACGATAAACAGCCTAACCAACGGACATGTCGTCCGTCATACTAATTTTTTAGTTAACTTTCATTAACCTTTTTTCTTTTATTGATTTATATAAAGTAGTTTATATTCTAACGAAAATATTCATATTTGTTACAAGAGTGTCAGCCTAATAGTTAGCTCAACAATTTTTTTTATGATTGTCCTTGTGATTATTATGCATACATGAATCGTTCAATTTTTAACTGATGTATACATGTATAATATATAGTTTTATTCCGAATCTAATATATATATGGTTCATAAAAATAATTTTAAATGCAGAACTTACATACCATGAAAACATAAATTTTACCACTTCTTTAATCTTCACAGAATAAATTGCCTCATAATCATGCACACAAACAAGAATACTCCAAATTAGATATATTGCAACACATAAACAATAATTATCAACAGGATATGAAAAAGCTGATGAAACAGAGGCACTTCACCTGAAAACAGATCTCCAGAAAGCTTCACAGCAAAAGGCCGTTTATGAAGGACACATCACCCAACTGCAAAAAGCTCTAAAAGACTGCACAGAGCAACTGAATTTCGTCCGGAAAGAACAGGAGACACGAGTCCACAGCGCCATAATGAAGACATCACAGCAACACGAAAAATCAAAGACAGCCCAAGAGGAAAAACTATCAGAAGCCTGTAAAAAAATCGCCCGATTAGAAACCGAGAACTCCCAGTTCAAAAAATCCCTCCTGAAAAAGGATCGAGCAGTCGAGGAGCTAAGCAGGTACAAATCACAGGTGGAAGCCGAGCTAAAATCACTCATCCAAAGATTAGAGTCGACTCAGAAGGAAAATTCCTCCCTCAAATACGAAATCCGGGTTCTCGAGAAAGAACTCGAGATTCGGCACGAAGAGAGAGAGTTTGACCGCCGAACTGCCGATGCTGCCCAAAAGAAGCAAATCGAGAGCCTCGAGAAAATCTCGAGACTCGAATTTGAATGTCAGAAGCTTCGCTCGTTCGTTCAGAAACGAATGCTGGGCCCCACTGCCTTTGTGAGGATGAAGAACGAAATCGAGGGGCTTGGGAGGAAGGACTCGCCTGAAAAATCGAGAAGAAGACGGTCAAATCAAAGATTGACTGGATCGACGGATTTACATGCTGATGTGGTGGGTGAAGGGTTGACTAAAAGGGTTGACTTTTTGAGCGAGCAGTTGCAGAGGATGGAGGAAGAGAACACAAGGCTAAAATGCGCGCTCGAGGGGAAAACAATTGACACTTTTAATCTGTCTGAGTTGGGCAGTGATGAGAAAGCTAGCTTTGCTGGGTCATGGGCATCTGCCTTGATAAACGAGCTTGAGAATTTCAAGAATGAGAAGAAATCGAACACTTACATGGGAACTCCAGACATGAAACTCATGGATGACTTTGCAGAGATGGAAAAGCTGGCATATTCACCTGCAGTAAAAGATGGAAAAATTAGTTTCTTAAATTTAGAAGCATGTGGTAAAGGAAATGAAAATGAAAATTGCTCGACTGGAAAAAAGAGTGCGAGTGAGTTTAACGTGAGTGTACCGTTGAAAAAAATTATTGAGCTTCTTGATGGAATAAATGTAGTACCACAAGATGATATTGGTAAGATTTTGCCGAGTAAGGACTTGGCAATCCAAATGGTTCGAGTGTTCAAATGTGAAAGTGGGGAAGTAGCAGCTGTTTCGAGACAGTTTGTTCAAACTTGCAATGAATTGTTGGGTGGAGAAGCTGATATTGAACAGTTTGTTCTATTGGTAGCATCTAATTTGGAGTGGGTTATGAGCCACTGCTTTGAGCTTCGAGATGTCATGAGCACGAACGATTATGGTGGATCGGGTAGACAATCTGCAGAAACTAGTGACATGTGCGTTGTAACAGACGAGGCAAAAACATTGAACTTACAACCAGCAAATAAGGAATTATCGATCAAAGGTCATGAAGAGCAGCAAATTAAGAAGGTTGACACTTTCGGAATTCAACTTAAAGACTCGAATGGCATAATCAAGCATTCACAGTCAGAGAAGCCTACTAAGAGGGAGTCTGTAGATAATAGTTCTGAAGATCAGACTGAAGAACAGAAGATAATGAAACAAGACAGTCAAAGTCAGACACAGATTGTGAAAACAAACCTTGAATACAGCAAACCTTGCGAAGAGATTTCACGTGGAGAAAATGATCACGAAAATACTAGCAAGTCATTCAAAGATCTGGAAGAAACATGCCATGACCTGAAAAAACAGCTAGATGGGTATGTTTTAATTCTAAAAGTTCGTTTGGAATCAAATTCTTCTTTTGATTTTTCGTTCTCTGACTGTATGTAATTCAGGGAGAGAAGCAAAGAAGTTACAAATGACAAAAGTCAACTTCAAAATGTAAGTTTGAAACATTCAAATGTGGCATTGCATTCTGTCAGGGATTTGCCTAAGTAGAATTTGCAGCCTCTAAACTTGTACTGAAATTTCACTTTGTAGGATGCGGAAATTACTTCGGCTTCAGATAAATTGGCTGAGTGCCAAGAAACCCTCCGAAATCTGGGGAAGCAATTAAAGGCATTGGCTTCCCCTAAAGATGCAGACCTTTTTGAAAAGGTTTTATCAACACCGGCTGATCTTGTTATTACCCGCATGTCAACTTCTAAAGGAAATGGAAACCAAAGACTGTCCCTACTAGATAAGATGTTAGCAGAAGACAATAATGTTCAAATTGGTGTCTCACCCAAAACAGAAGATGCTACTGAGAATGGACACGATAATTCTGCTTTTAGCAACAATGCAACATCAGAGCCTGTGAGTAACTTTACCGATCTAAATGAAACTGGTCATGATGCAGACAGAAATGCAATTGTTCACAAGGCTATTGTCCCTCGTAAGAAAAAAGACAGCAAGAGTTTTCTAAAAAAGTTAATCTGGTGGAAAAAGAGAAGTAATGGCAAGAAAACACCTTTCCCATGATCTAGAAGAGGGTTGGTGGATACAAACTTTATAGTTAGTGCTGTTTGTGTTGCTCATCCGAAATATTGTTGTCTAATATGTGCATACTGTATAGAGAGGAATGAAGAAGATAAATACACAACCATATCGTGTTGTCCATCTGTATAAAACCAAGAAAAACGGAAACGGAATAGAATCAGAGCAACAAAAATGTTATGAAATTGTGAAATTAATCAGAAATTGCCGATTTTATTCCAGCAACTGCTAGAAATGCCATCGCAAAGAGATACTTCTCGCAAGTATCTTCTAAAATACATGTTCATGAAAGGCTTTGCTGGATCAATGTTAGCCAATTGAAACACGGTACAAGGATTTCTGATGTAATCGCAACATAAAATGGCAGGGCCTCCCACATCAGTTCGATAGCAATACCCCAGTGAGTTGGGGAAAACCTGTATTATCAGAAATGTGATAGAAGCAAAACCTGTACACATTACACATAAATGAAACATGGAACAATTTTTTTTATTTTTTTGGGTATAATTTTGTCTTCCGTAATCAAGAAGCCATATGGAAAAAAATCCAATTTTGGCAGAAATAATTATTTTGATTTTTGTGATTCAAATGCTCTCTTAACCATAAGTCGCAGTAGGCATTGGTAGAACAAAAATTGAATGCATAAAAGCACAAATGCATAGATTTCATGCTCAAATCTAATACTAGTCTCTGTAAAGAACAAATTTCGCAATATCATGAAGCCCAGCCTCGCTGTAACAGTCAGCAACCCTCTCTACGCATGCATCCCATGTCCCTTCAACAGAAGCTAAATCCAATAAAAAGGCAGCTTCGTCCAGTGCAATCTGAGAATGGATTGTTAGATGAATAAGAGAGGGCGAAACAGAAAAACAGAATTCAATAGAATCTTGATCAGCAAGATTCAACCTGAGCAGGTTCTTTTCCCTTTTTCAGATCTTCTTGCCTTCCCTCATCTGACACTTTCTCTTGGATGAACTCAATTTGCTCGTCCTCCCATTGAGCCATATCAGCAACTTCCTAACAAGCATAAATTGAGAAAAGGTTACACAAAATATGAGGAGGTTGAAAAGAGAAATTAGCACGAGTTGAAAAGACTAATCAACAATATCTACCTGATACTCACATCCCAATGTCCACCAAGGTGATTTCAAAGCCACCCTTGCAGAATCTTTGGCTTCTACATTTCGTCCAACCCTACTCGAGGAAAACATAAGGAGAGAATACGGTACAGTAAGTTTAAAAAAAGTGGTGGCAATAATTTTTAGTGATATACAGATAAAGGAACAAATGTACAAACTTCAACAAAACTTCTGCATTAAAGACAAAGGGACGCCCAAATCCTGGAAAGTGCTCCCTCTTAGTGTAGAATTCCCCGGTCACCATAGCTGAAACCTTACAGCAGCATGCATGTATCACCAAAAAGGTAATCAAGGCCACTTTACACATAATTGCTGCTAGGGAAAAATCTTACATGGTCTCCGTTGTCAAAATGCTGCTTAACTTTGCGTTCTAATATGTCTGGAAACAAACCCACCTGGAAAAATAATGAATGCTTGGTTAAAATAAGCTAAAGTTGGCAGTTCGAAAAGCTTGCAGCACCACCTTCTTCAAAAGGTAGCTCTCTATGCTTGACAACTGAGATGCAACAAAATCACCCTTCTCATAGAACTTATTCGCAGCAGGAAATGAAACATGAAACAGCTCATCATTTCTTTCTTTAGAGTTCTTGACATCTTCTTCTACTAATATTCTGTTGATATACTGCTCGACCTGTTTTCAGGGAAAATGACAAGGTAATGTTCATATCCACACACCCTTCTACGTGCAAACATGGGGAGTGCAAATGCAGTAAACAATATGCAGCTGTGGTTAATGAACAAATGCAGATCACTCACATTCTTAGCCAAAAGCCACACGCCATACTTGCGAACCTCTACTACAGGCATCTCCATCCTGTGTACATTAAGAAGAGAATTAAGTAAGTACATATGCACATTGAACTCTGCCTATTAAATTCAGAACCGCATTACCCAGTGGGAGCAGTTGGCCATCTTAACAATGCAGTTACTGAACCTATCACCAGTAACATAAGATGAACGTCATTAGCAATTTAACTTACTGTAGATCCTCGGTTATCAAAAGATGGACCGTGCACCTGAATTATTCTTGGATAGAGGGACAACAAGAGGAAGCATCCCTTGCTTGGCTCCAGGAGAAATAATCTGTTCGCCTGTCATAGTGTAAGATCGAAAATTACTCTCCAATGCAAATGAAATTGAAAAGCCATCAAAATACAATCAGCACATTCCACATTAGCAGAAGTTTGCAACATCTAAACCGAATCCTCCACCTTTTAATTAACCCACAGAGACTAGAGACCAGAAGATATTGCAGCAGATCAATAATTTGTCTTATCACTTTGTATTCTAGATTTTATAGAAAATTGAACATTAAAAGCAATTAACATAACAAATAGCATCCAGCACATAAAATATCCTTAATTACTTTATTTGCAGAATGCAAGTGCAGCTGAAACAGTTATAAGCCGGTAACAGTAAATACCTCTAAGCTGAAGCACTTTGAGAAGATGATTCAAATGCTCCGGCGGCCGCGTGGCGGCCACTTCATTGATAAAAGATGAGTGTTCTTCCATTCAAACAATCCAAATATTAACATTAGTGGGTGCATATTTGCGGGTGAATCCCTCAATTATATATCCTATTCGTGAGTGCTCAAAAAATGATGGAAGCTAAAATACCAGGAGAAGATGAAGAGTAGCACCGGATAGAGATTCGTCGGCGCCTGAAGAGAGCTGCGGGAAACGCGGCGGCGCGTGGAACTCCAAACACCACTCCACCACCGGCTTTCATATCCGTTTGCCAAGCTGGCTGGGTACGGTTTGTTGGTATTGTTCTGCGGAGAAAATTGGAGAGGAGAAGTCGATATTTTTTGGGCCGATTGCGGTTAAGTGGTTTGGGCCTTATTTGTTGTGGATACATTGGGCTCTGCAGATGGGCCAGTTTATTCCATTCATGATGCAATTCTTATCGGGAAAATTACGGACATGTAGCCCCATGTGTATATATTTACATATATACATCCATTGACAATATTAATCAAAAAATAGGAATATATTGTAATTTTAATTTCATTAGTACGAGATTTTGATTCAATCAAATCTGATACGGTCCCTCTCTCCATTTACTGATCATGGCATGATTCTCCCGAAATCAACGCACAAAAGATGAACAAAGCGAACTGAGTTGCCCCATAACAGGAAAAGAAAAGACAATAGGTCGTCATATGGCTGCACAAAGCGATCCAACGGGACTCAAAATTCAGTGAATATCAAATTCAAAATTTGAAACGGGACTCACATATCATCTCTCTCTTTCAGTCGAAAAACAAAAACCAATCAGTTGGGAAAGAAAAAACGATCGTGTTGATGTGTGAAATTGATTGGAAATATACGCTGAGCCAAAAAATTCGAAGGTATATTCATGTATATGTTTTTTTTTTTTTTTTTTTTTTGGGGGATTTTTTTTTTGGTGATCAAGTACGAGATTAATGTACGCATTTTATTTTTTTTTATATTTTATTTTTTAAATATTTAAACGTAATATATACAGAAAGTAAACACAAATGATATTGCTGTAAACTTGAATATTTATTTAGTAAATCTGTTTATTTTACAGGAACATGACTGATGTCAATATGTTTATACATCACAATGGAGTGTGGATCAACAATGAATACATGAACTATCAAGTCGGAGTTTTTACAGAGTATTCGCCGAACACTGCAACAATGCTGAAAACAACAAAGTATACTGAAGATAAACAGTAGATAAACAACTCTAGAACACTTAAAAATGTGGTGGAAGGATGTATGAGTTCGGATATTGTGATACAATGCTGAAAACAATGCGGAGCATGCTGCAGATATAATGCTGAAAACAGCAAAGTATACGGAAGATAAACAGGAGATAAACAACTCTAGAACACTTGTGTATGTTCTTTAATGAGTCAAGCAATGCCACCTCGCATGTTGGTAGCATCATACCAACATCGTATCAGTGTATGAATGCAATATAACCTCATTAAGATGTGTGCAACCGAGAGATGAAACACCAGTGATGATGATTTTGGGTTTTTCATAAGGTTCGTGAACATGCAGATACTATGACAAAAACAATAAAATATACTGAAGATATACTTGATGTTAACCAAGACAATGGTTGAAGTATATGCAACATATACCTTATTTAGCATAAGTTTGTAGTATGTTAAAATTAAAGTATATATTGTGAAATATTTACTTATATTGTAAAGTATAACTAAGGTTATTATTCGTATATGTTTACTACAATAATTCTATTATTTTACACTGAAACATAAACTGTAAATAAACAATATAATTACTGTTAATCATACGGATAAAAAAAATGTACTATCACCTTCTTCGAAAATCCTACTATAATAGGTGTTGAATTGTGTTATATGTTGACTATGATTTACCTACATTTTTAAAACTTTGCAAAAACAAGATGGTGTATACTTTGTTTAACGTCTAAAGTATATTCAATCTATATGTTATTACATATACAATCATGTTTAATATACCGAAATATAAACATTAAATAAACACCACAAACTCACAAGGTATCATATGCATTATAAAAAATAAAACCACTTTCAACAGAAAATTATAATTAAAACCTGAATATTCTAATCTTACAGGTGCACAATCAAAAACCAACTAAACGAACCTCAAAACATAACAAATAAGGAAAAAAAAAAGATAGTATCTCAGTACACATACATCCAAGACCGATTCTTTCAACTTAAAAAAACCATGAATTTAACAACTTATTTGAAGAATTCACCGGCAACTGATTGGCTCGCTCCATTTTTAACATACCACGTTACCGCCGCTAACGGTTTTACTTTTTATTTTATTCTTTGTAAAAATTTTGGTTGATCAGATGATTCACAATAACCCTCCTCAATGCCAACTGCTTGGCCTTCATCGTCTTCGAGACCAAATTTCGTATCCGACTCTTGTTGCAAATCTGAAGAATCTACCATCTTACCCTTACCCTTGTTCGCAATGTCATTCTTTTTTGCGATGTGACGAGATTGGGAGAGGGTTATCCTTGCTTCGTCTTCAATGTTGGATGGTTTGCCCTCAATTTTTGTTCGCTTTGACATTGTTCTATTAGAGAGATGCAATTTTTTTGTGTTGAGATATTAAGGTTTTTCTGTGTGTATGAGAGAGAGGAAAATTTTTTGGGGAGAGATAAGAACTGCACTATGGCCGAGATATTGAGAGAGATAGAGTGATATCTTTTCTTTTCTTTTTTTTTCGGTTGAGTGTAAAGATAGGAAATCAACTTTCCCGATATTCATGTAAGAAGGTTTGATTCTATTTGAAACTGACAATAATTTCGGACTTAATTAGTCTAATTAACATCACTTAACGGTTAATCAGCCCAAATTTAAACCACCTAATCTATTATTAATATTATTTTAATTATAACAATTCGTAATTTTGATGAAAGTTCTATTTAGTCGTACATATGATATTATTTATGCAAGGGATTGTATGGGAGGTAATTTTCTCATTCTTATTCTTATGGGTTAAACTTTAAAGGCATGTGGGTAAATGACATGTGTTTTNTGCATTAGAACCAATCCCTATATATATATATATATAGGGTTGGGTTCACATGAGAATGGTTCTTAATGAAAGAAATGAGAATAAATCAGAGCCAATAGATCAGATGATCTAATGGCTATAAAATATACCCTCATTAAGGGTAATGTAGTATTTTACACACTCAAAAAACCTCATTAAGGATAATATGATATTTTTACACAATCAACCAGTGGGCCCATAGACCACCTCACCTATCTCTCTCATTACCCCTCTCTCTCTCACATACACACGCACATGCCACATCACCCATCAACACACACAAAACACACGCCACACACACACAACACACGCACACAGACGCAAAACACACGCCACACACGCACCAGCACACAAAAAACCATACACACACATATCCCAGAACACACACACACATTGAATACGCATCACAGAACACACACTCACCCCGTCGGCCTCAGCCACATTACAGCCTCCCGCCTCTGCCTCCGCCTCCACCTCCGCCGTCGGCGACCACTCGCCGACCGCCGACCTCTGCCTCTGTTTTCGACAATCCGTTCCTCCCCCGCCGGACTGGGCATCGGAACCACCGACTCCGCGCCCGTCTCCGCCGTCGCAGACCACCAGCTGACCGTGGGCCTCCGCCATGCACAGCCACAGCCACCGCCTCCGCCTCCGCCTCAGTTTTCGCCATCGCCAACCACTTCTCTCCCGCCGGACTACCATCTCGGGATGAACGACCGTCCATTTCTGTGCCGCCATTCTCAGCAAGGTCGCCGTTCTCCGCAAGGACGCCGTTCTCAGCCTCCCGCCGACCTCAGCCAGGCTACCGTTCACGCCGTCCGAACATTACTATCTCGTCGGAGACACACACAACAAAGACATAGGCTGAACGGCCTGTCAGCAACGCCGGGAAGCTCGCCGGCCGCCGCGACGGAGGCTCTGCGTTTGGGAATTATTTGTGGGAATTTGGCCAGATCTGATTTGTGGTTGGGAATTATTTGTGGGAATTTGATAAGATACAAGGACCTTATTGCAATTTTAAGAATTTTATTTATATTTCAATTTAGTACATGGCCAAATCTATAATTTTTAAAAACTTTACAAAAGATGATAGTATTTATATAATTTTTAAACATATTTATTACAAAAAATAAATGATGAAAAACATTAAGTAAATTAATATAAAATATTAAATGATATAAAATAAAAAATAACTAAAAATAATGAGTTAATAAATAAATTTTCATAACCTAAATAATAATTTATTTTGATTATTTAAGATAAATTTAGTTTGAATTTGCACATAAAAATACCACAATGCAAAATGCACAATATTGTTAAAAAGGACACACATTAGTGATCATCGGATGCACAATATTGTTAATGATTACAGTAGTTCGACTTGCACACTACCGCGTTGCACTTTATAAAACAACGTATTGCACTTTACAAAACAATATGTTGCACTTTATAAACAACGTATTGCACTTTACAAAACAATATGTTGCACTTTATCACGATTATCAGATTGCACATTAGAGATCGAAACCGACCGAACTCAATTTTATTCAACAAAAAATTTGTTTTGTCTAGATAATTCGGTTCAATTTCAATTTGTTTTTGAAAGAAAAGCTCAGTCGGTACACAATGCACAATATTGACCGAAGAAGTGCACGATAGTGTTAGGTAAGTTGCACATTAATGTAATAATAAATTATAAATTATTTCAATTATTTAGATTAATTCTATGTACAATTTTATCTAATAAATATAGTTTTAAAAAACACGTAATTTATACGTGGTCATATAAGAATTGCACTTTATATATCAGCATGATGTACTTTATAACACAAAATGTTGCACCGTATAAACAAATCGTTTCACTCTATCACCTTGCTATACAATTAATGCCAATATCTCTGTCGAAATAACACACAACATTAAAACATCACGTTGCACTTTATAAAACATCACGTTGCACTTTATAAAACAACACGTTGCACTTTATCGCGACTATCGGGTTGCACAACAGAGATCGCAACCGACCAAATTCAATTTTTTGTTGTTAATCAGAAATACCATAAAAGTAATAAATTAAATTATATCATATTAAATATATTAGTGATATAACTAAAAACAATTGATTATTTAAAATAATTCGATTAACCGAACCGAATAAATCAATTAATTATGTTCAAATTTCAATTTTTTTAAGAAAAAAAAAAAACGTTTGATTCAATATGCACAATACATACCAACATCGTGCACCATAATGTTGAACGAATTGCACCTTAATAACTGTTATATTGACATAATATCTCGTTTACATATATACTGTTTTTTAACGGGGTCACCTTGCAGCTGGACCCGACTTCAACAACAACCGACTTCAAATCGGGCCCGATCTCGTTAATACCGAGCCCGATCTAGAAGAGTTGACAACAACGTCGAATCTGACTGACTTCGGCAACTCCGAGCTCGGGTTTTAAAACCGCGACCGACTTTCGATTAGCTCCCGTGGACCAGGCTCACCGTGGCCGAGTCTTCGAATCGAAGCAATTGACGAGCCGAAATTGAAATTCGCCGCCGAACTTCACTGCCAAATTCGCACCTCTCCATTGAATGATCGACGAGCTGCGAATCTCATTTGGGTCGATCAATTCTCTGCTAAAATCGCAGACTTACAAGGTGGACAAATGAGATCCAATTAATTTTGTTCTTCAGTCCGTGTGAACGAGATTCATGATGAGTATATGATAATGTACTTTCTTGGGCCTATACAAAATTTCAATGGCCCAAGCCCACTATAATGGAACCTATATTCTAAGTACAAAATGGCTCCTAAAAACAAAGAGAGAAGAAGAAAGTGAAAAGGGCTGGAATTGTGCGTTGAACTTAAATCGGCTATTCAAACTCACTGGGGCCACAAATCAACATTGTCGAATTCCAGATGCGGATTACGTCTAAACTAGACCAACGTACCGACATTAGCCGGGGTCAAGCTTATTCACACAGGTCCAATTTATTCGCCCGCAAACGAAATCGGTTCCACCAGGCTGATTTATTATTTACTTACCACAAGTCTCGGTCCATTCACTCTGGTGCTCGCCAATAGTACCAGCCTATTGGACTGAGTCCACGGAGGGTGAGTCAGGGCCTAAGATCAGGCCGAAAGGCGTAGTCGATGGACAACAGGTGTCATTATTTAATCGTCCCCGACCTTACAAATCGAAGTCGAATTCATTTATCGACACCGGAGCTGACTTCATATATCAATGTCGGGGCCGACTTCATTTATCTACGCTAAAGCTGAAGTCACTCATCTATTTGTGACGCCGATATATTATTACTCGTTGTGAGCCATGACTCCGGCTGAGCAGACGTCCTATTATTGCTCGCCGTGAGCCACAACTCCGGCTGAGCAGTCGTTCTATTATTGCTCACCGTGAGCCACGATTCCGGCTGAGCAGACGTCTTATTATTGCTCGCCGTGAGCCACGACTCCGACTGAGCAGACGTCCTATTATTGCTCGCCGTGAGCCACGACTCCGGCTGAGCAGACGTCTTATTATTGCTCGCCCTGAGCCACGACTCCGGCTGAGCATACGTCCTATTATTGCTCGCCGTGAGCCACGACTTCGGCTGAGCAGACGTCCTATTATTTCTCAGCGTGAGCCACGTCTCCGGCAGCGTTAATATCTATATATTTCTCGTCGTTGAGCTTTTGTTCCGACTGAGAGGACTTCTACATTTACCTCAACGTTGAGCTTTTGCTCCGGCTGAGCCCACACTGGTTAGGCAAAGTCAATAAAACCTTTCCGGCTGGGAAAAATAAAAATCAGTCGGCACAGTAAAAAAGCCGAATCTCGAAAAATAATTCGGCTAGCCGACTTTCAAAAAATAAGTCGGCAATAAAAAATGCCGACGTTCCATTAACAAATTCAGCGAGTAAAATAAAATGCTGAATATTTTAGTCGGAAACAAAAAATGCCGACGTTCCTTTAAAAAATTCAGCGAGTAAAATAAAATGCTGAATATTTTAGTCGGAAATAAAAAATACCGACGTTCATTCGGTAAGGCATAACACCTACCGGCACACAAAGTCAAACTCGACCAACTATCGAGGTAACATCATTTTTTAAGCATTAATCATTTATTGCACGAACTCATAATATACTCATACATTCATACATGCATTCATATGCATGTCATACACGCATCTTGACATAAACATAAAAAGTCAATCTAAAAAATTCTTTTCCAAACCCTGAAGTTGGTTTGGCCAGGAAAAATCCTTAAGGACCCATGATGGTGAGGCGCAGTATAAGACCTTGTCACCAGGGATCATTAAATTTCTTAAGGACCCACACTGGTTAGGCAAAGTCAATAAGACCTTTCCGGCTGAGAAAAATAAAAATAATTCGGCTAACCGACATTTGGCACAGTAAAAAAGGCCGAATCTCGAAAAATCATTCGGCTAACCGATGTCGGCACAGTAAAAAAGCCAAATCAAAATGAAAAAAAAATAAAAAAAAATAAAAACTCATATTGGTTAGGCAAAGTCAATAAGACCTTTCCGGCTGGGGAAAATACAAAACGAAAATCTTTACACGAGTTCTTCAGCTTGGTAGGGTTGATACCCGTTTTTATAATCCTTAAAGACCCACACTGGTTAGGCAAAGTCAATAAGACCTTTCCGGCTGGGAAAAATAAAAATAATTCGGCTAACTGACATTGGCACAATAAAAAGGCCGAATCTCGAAAAATCATTCGGCTAACCGATGTCGGCACAGTAAGAAAACCGAATCTAAATGAAAAAATAATAAGAAAATCTTTTCCAAACCCTGAAGTTGGTTTGGCAGGGCTAACGCCCTATATATTACATCAAAGGTCGAAAACACATAACCCGACCGAGGAATAATTAAAAAATAAAAGACCGAAGACCGGATATCAAATAATCCGACCAGGTCCATAAAATAAAGAGAAATAATCGCAAATCAAACCAAAAATCGCGTCGTCTCAGTACGACAGAATTGCGAGTCCGGTAACAATTCCGGGGGCCCGAGTGCCCATACAAATCCATATCATTATTGCAATCACAAAAGCAATTCATTAAACGCTTCGCGTAACGCGCAAAAACGCGAAAGACGGGTAACAAATTGCCCGAATAGGCCATCCAGGCCTCATTCAAAATTTCAGAAAAAGTTACTATCCACGTCATTGGCTCTATGGGTCTCAAATTACCCGGCCAACATCAATACATCAATTATCGCGGCCAAAATTAATTATACACGCGACTTCAGAACAATTTTATTCAAAACATGCCCTAAAATCGGGGGCCTACTGTTGATACCAAATTTTGGCCTAGCCTATTAAAAAATTACACGTGGATATATATATTAAATAAATTATTTTATTTTTTGGCCTTAAATAATACCGCTTGTGATAATATCGGGCCCATTAAATATATATATAAATATATATATATATATATATATATATATATATATATATATCCCCAATGATGGATATCAGAAGATAAGTCTGAAGGGGCGTATTATTATTTTCTCTCTCTATCTAGAAAAAGGGAGGCGGTGCAGGAAGTCATCTTCTTCCTCCCTCATCTTCAATATTTTCTGGGTCCATTTTTGTGACAGAAATTCATCAAAAAATCACCAAAAAATGTATATCAAAAAATACACAATAAATTCCTCTGAACCCTCTATGTTGATCAAATTTCGTGCATCAACAACACTATTAGTAAATAAGTGTGGATGACTCTATAAGTCGAGCCATCCGATGACTCAATAGCAAAACTGAGGATGAATAACGTATTCTGTCATAAAATTATACACGAAATAAATCAATCGCAACCCAAAAATAA